TTTAATAGTTTGTTACTCAATCGCATTAAAATGGCTAAAGAGATCGGGATGAAATTTAGAACAGGGATAGATTATGTCTTGGAATAGGCTACTTTTTATTTATCCCCTAAGACGCGGGCAGAAGCTAACAACATATACATATAGTGGTGAAGCAAATGCTAATAATCATACAATTTATTTATTTATGTTGCAGGTATGTGAACTATCGTGACTCGAAGTTGACACGCCTTCTCCGCGAAGTGCTGGGTGGACGCTGCCGTACCGCCATGGTGGCGCACGTGGCGCCCGGCGCAGCACATCGTGACACCACGCGGTCTACCCTTCACTATGCGCAGAAGGCATCTTCTATCACCAATAAGGTATTATCAGAAAGAATTTATCAGAAAGAATCAGAAAGAATGGGTTCTTGAAAGTCGTTGGTACTACATCAACCAAAACCAGAGCATTTTTCAAAATAATCTGTAACTGTCTATACCATCAATCTCAAAACGATTATATTTTTTACCACGGTGAAAATGATTTCAGGTGGAACGTGAATTGGTAGAAACACCGATGCCTCTATCACAGTACCGGACGGTCATCAACGAACTGCGCGAAGAAATCGCTCGACTGAAACTTAAGATGAAGGACGACAGAACAATGTTCGTTTTTTACTCATTCATTGATGAAACTTGTTTAATCTGTAAAGATAATCCATAAACGATCTAGTATCTAGCCAAAACCATTATACGCTTGGTATTTTTCGTTGCTTTTTGCAATTAGAGAGAGATATCTTAATGATTACTGCATGTATTCCCCTCTTCCTTTGTTATGTGTTAAAATATGTTATTTTACGTTCAACAGTAAACCAGAATTTGCAAGAGTTCAAGAAGAGGAGATTAGTAAAGAAGATGCAGCAGAAAACGCAGCTCATTTAAAATCTTTACGGGAAGCCATTGTGTCTACATTCAAACAACAAATGCGCTTACGAAGGAGGTTGATGGAGCTAGATAGTCACCTGTTAGGGTTAGCGTTAGATGCAGAAAGGCAACATGCTGCCATCTCGCATTGGGAGGCGAGGTTCAACCGCCTCTATAAACCAATCAACATGCCTGGCTCCAGATTAAGCACCCAACAGAGTTACAGGTATAGTGGAAATGCATTTTCCTTTACAAAAGTAACTTTACTTATCTTTTTTTAGAAAAGTTAGTAGCATGAGATCACGCTCTTTATTACCGAGATGGAAACAGGAAGTGATGAACATTGTTTTAAATATCATTAAAGCACATTAGTACTTTGTATTCTGGGATTTAATATGCGGATCAGGCAAAATTTCGAATCTTGGAAGCTGTTGAACGTTTTTCAATTAAGTAATGCGTAAGTTTAAGACTAAGATCAAAAGTATACCTACGGATGTCTAGGGGCGGCACTGGATTATCATCGAGCAGCAGTGAGCGAGCTGAAGCTGAAGTGGCCGTAGAACAAGCGTGGGCTGAATTAGCTGCCGTCGAGAGGGAACAGGAGTCAGCTCGAACTGAGAGGGAACGCGTTGAAAGACAGCTAGAACAAGTTCGCTTAAGAGGGGCGCAATTAGAACAGGTAACATAAAGTTTTATTTACAAGACACTACGTATTTTATGTCTAGGTAGGCTTTTTGACTTTTATGTTATGAGCCCTCCGTCAAAAGGGAAGTATACCTCTATGCAACCAAGACGATTCCGGTTCGAAATCCGAAATCTCAATAGGTCATAATTTTCCCGATTTGCGAATAAATTTGAGACAACTTACTCAGCAGTCATGCTTGGCACCTAATCACCAGTCGTATTTTCAACAAATTTTTACTTGAGATTGAAAAACTAACTTTAATTCCAGGAATTACCAGCTACAATAAGTAGCGGGCCAGAACGAGAAGTGTTGGCCCTAGTGTGTCGTGTGCATGAACTGGAAGCCGACAAGTTAGCTCTGCAAGGAGAGCGAGCTGCAAGAGCTCATGAGCTACGGAGACGGGACCTGGCATTACAGCGACGAGACGCACAAAGAAGATTATCTGATGAGATTATTACGAGACAGAGGCGTGCATTACAAGGTATGTCTTCGCTATACAGCGTCAAGTCTGTCTGTATATTTGGGGGTAAAATATAATAATAGCGCCGAAATATTACTACCAAATCAAAAAATATTAATGAACATGAAATGGCAAATGGAGGAATAGTAAGCGTGACCACTAAACAAAGATTCTCGGTGGAAACTAGAAACCGATCAGTTCTACTTATACTTATAATTGCTCCTTTCCAGACGTAGGCGTTGGCGTGCCGCCTGAGCTGGCCCAGCTGTATGAGTTGTATCAACAAGAAATCCACGCATCCACCTACACAGAGAGCAATGATATCTTCACCCCTCCTTACCGTCTACCACCTATATCAACCAGGTACTGAATAACATGCTTTTTTATAAGTACAATGTCCATGAATGTACTTTTGCTTGTTTATCTAACCTAACGTGAATATTTTGAAAGATTCCTTTTAATACTCTGCTTCTTAGAAGCAGACAAGCTTGAAATTAGGAATATGGTAACCGGTACTGTAGCTAGTAGTAGTTACCGTAGCTCTTTGTAGCAGCAGCAGAAGTAGCACCAAACATTAACTAGTGCATGTCTTGAGCATTACAGACATTTTATTTTCACCAATAACCCGGTTTCAATATCCAGTATGTCTGAGCTGACGTGGTCGGAGAGTTCGAGTGGGTCAGGCCGAGGCTCGAGCTCAGGTTCTGGCGGTACGTTGATGTACGACTACCGTCTACCACGTCTCGCACCTACACCTAGACCTCGGACCAGATACAGGTACCTACTGCTCACAGACATATAGACTTCTTCGACTGCCACGTTAATCGTATGGTCATTCACATGCATGATTGACGAGCTGGGAGTTCGGTTTTCGAAAATTTACGAATCTGGAAAAGTATTTTACGGTTTTTAGACTTGAGTGAAAATTACAGAAAAAGTTAATCCTGGTTAAAAAAATCGTACATAATTAATGCCAAATGACAAACGTTTGCCTAAACTTGAAGTTCACTGGTAAATTAAATGTGAATGTTATTCATGTATTCATTATATTGTGCTTCTAGTCAAGCAAGTGCATCAGCTTTGAAGCGTTATGCGAGTGACGAGAGCCTGGTGACAGCAGTACATCGTGGAGACGACGAGCCAGCACCCTGACTTCCTCTTCAGCTACAGCCTGGTCTAGTTTCGTGTGATCTTTAGTGATCTTTCGCCAGAAATTCGTGGCACTGTTTTATGGGCATTTTTCTGAAGCCAAAGTTGACTACTTGAGCTTGAAGGATAAAAGTAAAAAGTATATTTATCGTATTCATTTATTTAGGGCCTGTGTAAACGAGGGACTTTTGTCTACTAAGGATGAAAATGAGTAAGGATTGTGAAAAAGATCCACCGAGTACTTTACGAAATCGCATGAAGAGGAACCCTCTTCATGCAATATTAGTTCTGTTAATAAGTTATTCGGTATATTATGTAATGTCAAATATATAGTTGACAAAGATGTTCCCAATGGATAGTCGCAGTCTCTCGTTATCGCAGGCCTTCAGTATTCTTTTAGTTGGTTTAGTTCATTGATACTTGATTTTGGCTTTAATATGTCATTTACGGAAGTAGACATTTTGTGATTGGTCTATCATGTGGTACCTAACTACACAAGTTGATGTTGCGTTTAGATCACTTTAGTGGTGTTGTGGGTTTATCGTGGTCGGTTTGTTCTCTTCGAACTTGTTTTTCAAGTAAGATATTGTGAGTTTGTTTTGTAAAATATTCAATAAATATAGCCACTTGTTTGGTATATTCTTTTTTCTTAAGTCAAATAAAAAAGTACCTATTTGTCCACTGTAAAATAAAGGTGACAGAAAAGAGGTTATTTTTTATTTATTTGTTTGTTCATTAATTTGCTAAAAGAAACCAATAAACTGTATCACAAATGTAAATAAGGCAACCAGTACAATGATATTGGTGAATGTATACTATTGAAAATAATAGACTTATCCTGGTTTTAATTCGGGAGCGTAGCAAATAATTCTAACAATTTCATTCATGATACTTTGGAAAACCAAACATTGTTTTGTTATATGGCGCAATAGTAAAAATATTGCAGTACTGCACTGCAATGCAGACTCATTCACCATTCCTAGTTACAGATAAAGTCTTGTATGATTCAGTTTGCACCGGTATAGTATGACGAAGCTCACAGGAAAGTCACAGCTTAAAGGATTTTACAAAATTGAATCTTTAAACACTACCTACCTACGTAGTTACTGCAACTTATCCACACTGGAAAGAAATCATCCCGTCGTCACATGTTCCACTACGCCAACATACAATGTTAGTAGTATCTGCATACGTCATCAGAAGTATGTGTACTAGATTATCTTGGATAGTAATACAGGAAAATACATCCACGTGTGCGAACATCTTGTCGAGGGTGATGTCCTGAGAATAGCAACAGACGGCACGGCGGATGAATAATAAGTAAACAGCCATCGGCGTTTACCTTGTCAGGGAAAATAAGCATTACACATAATGCAACTAAGCAATAACACGATAATGGTGATTCGAGTTTATATCATTGAGATTACAAACATTACTTATCTAATACACAGACAAGTTTCTTATAATACTACCTAAAATAATCTCTTGAAGGCACTATTCAATGCTTTATATACATCGTGATTTTTCTAACAATTCAAACTTAGTCAATAACAACTCGACCTTTAAATAACAATAAGTTACAAATAATTTAATTTATATAGTAGGTGCCTAGACCTAATTTACTACTTATATGTAAGTAGACACTAATTTAGCTTCCAATCTTTAACTAGTATACAAGATTAGGTAACAATAGTAGGTAACTAAGATTATAGTATAATCGTGGTTATGAAACCTTAAATAAAAACGTACAAGATTAAAGATAACATTGCAACTTAACTAATTTAATAATATAATATGTAACGTATAGTTTCATTTGACTAAAATCGACTAATCTCATTTGAAATATGATTTACAAATAAATGCGATCGATTATACGCTTTGTGACATTTATATAGCACATCAAAATTATCTTAAGTACCTACTTATTAAATCTCTAATTGGTCCCATGTTTTGGAATTACCAATCAACACAATACTGTTATCACACACTCAAAATAATACAAAAACTATGCGATGACCCACTAATTACCACTACACATCGGAATGGGGTCGCGTATTTAAACTAGATATCTAGATAAATAGAAATTACATAAATAAATAATTTAATTTATTGTAAATACTTCCTTGCGATATGTTCGTTTAACTAACTTCATGAAGATATCACATTCGCGTGTTACAAAAGGATAGTACAAAAGTATTTTATTTTATGACTCGATTCGATACAACCTCGCGTACCTAGAACATTAAGGCAAGTTCCGCGGATTGGCAAATAACGAAGTAGAATTACTCTTAATTTGATCGTCAAATAATATTATGGCCACTAAAGTTTTGTAAAACTATTTAATTTTTACTATAAAGCTCAAAAAATGGTCTGTTCATTGGGGACGACCGTAAGTTGCTTTTAAAATTATCGTCCGAAACTAGCTACACATGGAAACGTGAGATATTTGAGCTGTTATAGGCAGTAAACAAAAGTCCAGTACAAAATATTGAAGACGATGAATAAGAGTGGGAACATGATTCGGGAACGTTTGTCGATCCATGTGGCGATCTCCTGGGGGGTCATGGTGGTCCAGTTGTGTTTCGGAGGCTCGTCTGAACCTTCGCTGCCATTGCCTCTCTGCTGTTTGCCTCCCTGCCCAATTAGGTCGTCGAAGCTCTGTGTCGTGATGGTCGGTAGGTTCATTGCAGATGGGAAGCTCTGAAAATACAGAGGAAAACCATATAGTATGACACTTGATTGTATGATCAAACGAACTTAGCCAAGTATAAAGAGAATTCGAGTAAGAATTAGAAACACAAGAATATTCCACGGGGAATACTCAGTAATGTCTACTTTGCTCTTTGAACTTGTATAACTGAAAACCATGATAGAATGAAGTGCCGATGAGAAATATCAAAGTATCCGTGATAACTATTCTACTAATGAAGATAGAGGGTGTGTAGTTTCACAATGAAACTGCACAGGTGTGTGGTTGTGCAAAATGTGCGATTTCCGCATTCCTATAAACATTTTTAGTCATAGCAATGCCTTTAATTGTTTTCGTACAATGTAGATTGATGTCGGTCTGTTGATTGAGTCATATATTGCACGTGCTATACTAATATTCAGCACTTATGTTGTTACTTGTCTTATTTGTTAAATGATAACAATTAAATATAATTTATGCTGTCTTCTCTCAACATTGTGTGCCACTGAGACAGACATTAAATAATGTCTAGAATATGGATATCATATTTCTAGCTGACGAAAATAAGGATCAATCATAGTTATGGAATGTATGTTATATTTCAGGTAGGGCTCTTACAACACGTTAACACATAATGATAGGCTTTTCGTGGTTGAAGTAGACATATTAAACCGGCTCCAAGTAACTTGGGGACTTCGACATAAAAAGCAACATAAATTTAAAGTAACTTACGTGTACGGTAAGGTAGTTGTTGTATCCAGGTCCTGCTGGGTCGGTACTGGTCTCCTGGTTGAGCGAGGAACATGACCGTGACTTGCTGAGCTGCGGCGACGACTCCTGCAACTCTTTCTGCAGCTCCTTGCGAGCCAGCCGCGGTGTCAGCGTGCTCTTCAATATGTATTTACTGTTCACCTTCTTCAGACTAACCGCTTTCCTGTAAAAGAGAAACAGAATGTTTTGGTAAATCGTCACTGTTATTTTAAGATATCTGAAGTGATAGGATAAGAGGTAAGTACTGATAATATGCAATAAGGCTTTTTTGATACAGTGTATGAAAATGACTATTAACTATTTCTTAATAAACAAATACGTACTTTCTACGCCAAATAGTGTTGACGAAAGCGAATTCGACTAATGCAGAGAAGATAAAGCCAATGCAACCCAGGAACCAGATCTCACTGGCTTTGATGTAGGACACCTTTGGTAACGTTTTCGCCTGGGAGGACGCCAATGTGATGAACGATAACATCGTGCTTGTACCTAAAACGACATACAAAATACATAAAGTATAACTTAAAACATGTCTCAGATCTTTATCTACTTTTAAAGTAAGTGCAGGACGTACCTAGTGTTATTCTAGGTGCCGATGCGTCTGCTTGCAGCCAAAATGTGACCCATGACATAGCGACGATCATCATCGAAGGAATAAAGTAATCCATCAGATAGTAACCCACTTCACGACCCAGTTTGAACGTGAATTTTAAGGCACTATAGTTTCCGGCTGTAAAATGATATAAATAGACATTATTTTATCAGCATTTGTATGAGTAATTTTATTATAATGACGTAATAAAAAAAGTAAATTACATCTTCCTTCGCCAAGACGCATGTTGACAATATCCCCACGAACAACTGACTCATTCGTCCAAAAATCCAATAGAGAATATTCCGTTAGGTGTAACTCCGACGATAACCGGACTGGGCTGTCTTTTTCCCACATTAGCCTTAAGATGGATGCATTGTATTTCCCTAAAATTATAAAATAAGGAAAATTGTTATTGGATCCACGGGCAGTTCAGAAGTTTTGCATATTTGTATGATTCATATACCTACAATGACGTTAAAAGAAAGATAATAAGCATTGTAAAACGACAGTTTTACGTAAATGCGTTTGTTTATAAACAGTAAATTTACTAAGAGATTATGGAATAAATTTATGGAAGAATCCTTACAGCTCTCCAAATTCATTGAGCACGTTTGATCGTCGAACGGAAACTTTTGTAAATTCATCCAGCAGTAGAGTACAGCTTGCATGCGTCTGCTGAACAGCACCTCGCCGGTGGGTGATATCGATATCAGCACGTCTTTGCTGTCCGTACCCATCAAACTCGAGGACTGTTCGTTGGACATGTATAGATGTGGAACCCATATCCTTTCTCTTAAATCACTTTCACCGATAATCTTTAACCTGTCCGGTGAGAATAATTTGTACGCTAACCGTGGATCGGTCCATCGAAGTTGAAGCAGAAAATGAAGTTTGAAGTTCTGTAATGAGAATATTTTGGCACGTTAAGAACGTATATAATATGTTTTGCACTAAATAATAATATCAATTAAGCTAACATAAATAGACTACTAACCAAGTCATGAGCCTCGGCGGGCTGTATGAAGTAGACGTAGGCGCTAGCATGCACATACACTACGTCACCAGTGGTGTAGGTAGGCAGCAGCAGTCGATCATAGCGGCACTGGTTGGCCAGCCGGGATAGGAACTCTGATTGTGTGTAGTTGTCGCCATCAGTCAAGCTCGGACAATCAGCCGCAACGTTTTGCCTGTAAAAAAACAATCAATTGATAAGTATGAATGTTTGACAACAATAGATCATTCGTCTTCTTATCACGTAGCCACACGTCCACTCGCAGACTGTTAAATCAGGCACGCTATTAGCGACCTTATTCGAGGGCAATACGCAAAAATTGTAACATTGATTTTTAAGCTGGTGAATTGTTTCCTTATCCTGATTCCTGGTCTATTAATAAATACTTAAGTGGTGATAAGGTTAGAGGTAAGAGTCTGTTTAGTGCTAATGCGCTACATCTCATTCATATTTAATATCTAATTAATTGTCTAGGCGACTGACCCGTGAGAATAAGATAGCAATAAGTCATTAAAACAAACAGCCACTGACATTAAACTTCTCAATTTTAGAATATGAATGCAATCGTTATGTATTATTGATGTATGTAGCAGTTTTGGAAACTACGTTGCAACTTCCTTCTAACTAAATTAGCAAGTTATTCTATGACAATGTGTTGCATTTATGTTTATCAGTTAGACATGTGAACCGGAATTCTGTGTTTAATCAATGGAACATAACGAGGTCATCTACAATTTAGTCTTTTAGTGACTTAGAAAGAGGATATGTGGAGCAAAACTATAATAAAAGTAATTATGTCTGTTATGTCATTTCTAACAGCTCTCTTCACTTTGTCATTAAATCACTGATGTTAGGCTGCTTTGGAGGTGGATATGGAATATGGATATGGAAGTATGTAAGTAGACAAAAAAAAAGAAAAATTGTGATGTCAAAATCCCACCATAATAAATGCGTCAGTTAAAGAAATAGACAACATAATCATGCCATACAAGTGAACAATGAGGAAGCATTACTTCATAATGAAGGTCATAAAGATTGTCATTGTTAAAATTCGGCTACTGATCTCAGCGAAATTCACAGCTCGTCTGTCATGTTAACAAAAGAATGTCTTATGTTATTTTAAACCGCTGTCTATTGATATATGATGCTACTTGTTTTTAATTTGCCATGCGGTGCATTTGACAAATATCTTAGGCAAAAGATCTAATTTTAGCCGAATTGATCGGTAAAAATTGTCTCGGTCTAGAAATAAGTACAACTAATGATCTAATTACTGTTGAAGAACGTGCAGAACATTCGCTCTAACATTTATGACCTTTACAATTGATATGAAGAAACAACGACACGTCGAATGACTGTAAAACGTTTACCTAGGTGTCTGAACGTGTGCCTTTATTTTTGAGGAAACAATGCACCTGACATACTGACATGTACCTACTAACGTAGCCTCACCGGCCGTATGTAGTTCATTATTAATTTTATCTATGCTCAATCACGTCTACGCGTTGTGACAGTGATTGCGCGTTGAACAAACTCTCTTTTCAATAACAATACATAATTGTTTACTGAAAGACGTTGTAGTATCAGTTTAATATATGGATTCATGGTGCGGCAAGGTCGGAGTGGGAGCTGGTAACGACAACAGTGCTAATATTTGTGGTGCCTGATAACATTATGAACCAATTCTGAGAGATATCAACAAGATTTACTCTTAGATTACGGCTAAGCCACAACCTACGTGTAGATTAAATATGTTTTACATTCTTATGCAGACTCAAAACTCAAAACACTCAATAACCTTATACTATTTGGCCTGCTCTTTACTTCTTGCTCCCTATTGTTTATTCAACGTACCTCTCTAGCAGTGTATCTATCCACCTTAAACAAATTTGTTCAGCGGCTCTTATATTATGTTAATCTTAGCACACACTATCTAAGAATCTACGCAACTAATATAAATTTTGTTCTGATAAAAGATAACAGTAGTAGAGTTCGGGGCAACCGGATGAAAAGCTTTAATTTATACTTCAGTTTGCTCTAAAAGTTAACACCAAAGTAGATAGGTACTGTAATGCAAACTTTCAGTTAGTGAAAACGACATTTATTATTGTTCTAGACCAATGATAAACACTAAATGTGAGGTGACATCATTCATTTGCCAACCATGAAGTTGTAAGAATTAGTTGAATTACTTATGTATTTTAAATGGCAGCGACATATCAGTTACTGCAACTAGTTACATTTTATGAGCCACCCGCGCTACTAGAATTTATTTAAATGTTCACTCATCAACTGAAATGTCGGTAATTATGGACCTACAATTATTCATCAGCAGACTTTCATTAAAAACAAGATATTTCTAAGATTTTTTTGTTATGCTTAGAGTAATCATTAAAAGTTAATCGCAATGTCAACAAACTTAAACAGTACGGATAACTTGCGTCACGAATGCTGTATGAAAATTATAGTATTCCTTCAAAGTTCCAACACTTCATTTGTTTGTTTCACGTGCGTAAAAGTACTTTACAGTTGTTACCGCAATGACGTAGCATGATTTCAATGGAAGTGCATTCTTATTTGCATACGCATTAAGTATCTAATAAATTGTGAGACATTAAACAAACAAAACTATCACGAATAACAACAAAGTGATATACAAAGATAATTAGGGTTTTATCAGAGACTACTGTGTACAATCGCTGTGTTAGACAATGTAAATGAAATGTTAAGTGTGCATCTAATATGAGTAGGTACTAATTTCTGAGAAAGCCTACAAACGACTGTTAGTTTTGTCTTACTGAAGTATTATTATTATACGCTCTATTCTATTCAAACAAGTATGACTAAAATATATTTTTGTGCCTGATACAGGTACTAGGTATTTCAAATATAAATTAAATTCTCACTCTTGCGATTTCTATGTAACTATTCTACTACTTTAGGCATTAACATACCATTTAAGTTGTAACATGTTTTAGGAAAATATCTTCAGCGATGACACTTACTCGATACACGATTTATTCAAGGTGGATTATGATTTTCTTGATCAAATTTCATTTAATAACTGTAATAAATATGTTGATTAAATGATAATATTGTTCTTATGATTAAATGTAAACATTTCATAGCGACCTTTGCCTAAAATGAATTAGAATCAATCTATCTTCACCTGTTTCAAAAGCAAATTGACGTTGTTATCGCGGTTGATGACCTCGAAAACTCCATAAAATTGTATGAAGGCATATAAATTATATCTGTCTAGTGCCCAGCACTATTCGTACGTCACACGTGCCGGTAATTATCACCAGTTTCAGCTGTCATAACTGTACTATGCAGCCTTTTTTGGTGAAATAAGATGCTACTTGAAAATATGGCGTATGAAAATATCTACCGCATAGGCACGTATCGACAAATATAATACTGAAGATTTATGTATGTGATTATGATGTTTATTAGTTATGCGGAATAATTAATTGTATATCATAGTTTCATGATTGAGCTAATAGTCATTAGAAATTCCTGACTGCCTCGTAAGCCGAGTGGTCGCAAGTGCGAGAGCCGGGCAAGGGGTCTCGGGTTCGATTCCCGGATCGTGCAAAGTATTACTCGGTTTTTAAAGAATTCTCAGTAGTGGCACGGTTTCTGGAATTGTGCCCGGTATACGGCAATAGGCTCACCCCCTTTTATGTGGGATAAGAACACTGTGACTGTATACAACTGTGAAAATTGGGTGTTACATTGTACAGTGGCATTAAGTGCCATAATGTGCGCCTCTGCCTACCTCTTTGGGGATAAAAGGCGTGATGTTATGTATGTATGTACATACAAATGTGAAAAATTGTAAGAGTATCCGTAAAATTGTTTGTTACTCTTTCACACAGCCGTTGGCTGTAAGGTATACGCGATATTATAAACAAGTTCGCTCCATTAACTTACTGAAACTAAATAAATATTCATCCAATACATACGTAAATTATAGTAGGCACGAGAATATAATATAGCTTTCACGAGAACTCATCCTAACACCTCAGTTATCTATTGTATTTAAGCTACAAATCTTACACGAATCGTAACAAAATCACACGCAAATAAAAATTTGTAGTCGCGAGATGCGTGTGTCATTATTTCCTGTTTGGATGCTAATAATTATCGATAATAGTGTTCGCAAATAATGTATAACAAATTAAACGGGAGTCACGCTTTATTAGTCACGAAAAAGCTTATTATTTATTAACACTCGTATTAACATAATTAGCGGCTCATTATATTACAGTACCTACTGCTACATGTTGCTAGACGTACGTAGGTGTCGCAGTTTACATGACAATTAAAACTTCATGACTTAGGGAAATTAACCAGTTAAGTTATAATTATTATTTCACATTTACAAGGATTCGATTTCTTAACGCGTAGGTACCGTTGACGTCAAATTCCTTCGGTGCAAAACGACTTGATTTCAAAACAAGAATAAATTCTCAGTTTCCTGTCTGTACATTAGTCTACTTTTACCTTACTGATGTGTAAAGTAGGTATAGGTAAACCACACAAGTGAAGAAGATTTGATTTGCATGTAACAAGTAAACAAGTTTAAAATTGTATTAAGTATTTTATGATTTCTAATTACCAAATGTGCTAGAGTAATATAGCTTGAAATAATTGTGATTATTTATTGTAATGATTATCTTTGCCTACATTCTTCGTATTGTGCTAAATTGTAAAATTGAATAGATTATTGCAAGACTGGCTGGTTGTCAATAAGATGATCGGTGCAGCACATTTACCTCAACCGTAAGGTCGAAGACTATTGAGGTAATTCGATTCGGAAATAGTTTCGCATTCATTTATCTACATTTCATGTAGTCCATAACAATGCAACGCGAGGGTCCGTGGTGCGACGGTAAGGTCGAGCTAGTGAGGCGCCGGTGACGGAGCACGCGCATCCATCTGCATCAGAATAGCGGACACTTCGCCACGCTCATTGTCAACTAACAGATGTTAATAATTATAAATGATACTGCAGCTTCCTCTAGTCATTACTATTCACTCAACATACCGACAGTCGTGAGACAAAATCACGAAAAACTAGTGTTAATCTTAGTTTTCTTTTTTAAATTAATGATGCAATATGCTACGACCGAATTTGCAATAAATATCTATCGAATTATTTAACTGAGT